CATTAGCACCTCTAGTAATATATTTACTGAGAAAAATGGTGACATGTTCAATACTTATTTTACTCGCTGTATTGTCCAAGATTAACCTTCAGGGTGGATATAGCTCGCTAGCAGCCTCGCACCGATGACCTACCCATGTCATCATTTACCCAGAATACTTTGTGTGTAAATAAAATGTCTCTGTTCGTGTCAAAACATATTTTTAAAAATGTACAAAACTAAACAGTCTACAGTATTTTTACAGTCTTTATTTTACAGTTAAAATATATGTTTATCAAATAAAGTCTAATGTTACAACTAATCTGGGATCCTTTTAATGTTTTAAAAATGTCGTGTCAGTTTCTGTTTGTCGCTCACCAGATGTCTCTTGTGGTCCTGGTGTTTGCGGTTCAGCTCCACCAGTAGGTCGTGTTTCCTCTGAGCCTCCTCCAACTGAGAACAGGGTCTAAATTTTAAACTGGCAATTTTAAATAACGATGGAAAAAGATGTGTTGTTCTGTAATCCAGTCATGGTTTTCGTTAAAGCAAGTCGCAGACTAGGATGTCCAGAAATAAAATAACCTTTAAAAATCAAATAAAATGTGTATTCTTCAAAGCGACGGGCACAACCGTCAGCATTCGGTTCCTGTTCTCACCTGAGCGGAGAGTTTGCTCCGGTGTCGACAGTGCGAGGAGGACAAGGCGTGGAGTCGCTCCACCTGCTGCGTCTGCTGCTCCCACATTCGGCCCAGAGCGTGAGGGGAGATGTGAAGGTGAGGCAGCTCGTCTCGCAGCACAGGGAGGAGCTCGTTTTCCTTTATTTTCACTGGAGGAAGGAGCAAGGATAAAATAAATAAATAAAAAATTCTTTAAAGAGTCAGAACAAAGAGTCTGTGGACGTCAGATGTGACGTACTGGATGAGGTTTTCCTGCTGGGTTCTGGGCGCTTCAGTCCTGCTGCTGTCCTGTTACGCTGGCTCCTAGGTGGACTCTTGGTTTTGGGTGGGGACCGTCTGGACACCTGAGAAACATCCCCCAGTATGGCCTCTCTGTACTCTTGCTCCTTTAAATACATAAAGAGATGTTTTAATTTTTCAGAATAGTTTAACACCAACAAACAGCAGGGTTTCTGGTTGGAATAATAATAATAATAATAATAATAATAATAATAATAATAATAATATTTAACATCCTGTCGACTCAGTTCAATCCACTCATCACAGATGAGACAGATTAATTTGGGACTTTATTTATTTTGAGTTTTTTTTTCTCTCGAGTGGAATAATTAGATAAGTAAGTTTTGAACTTCCTATTTCTAGTTTTGTTTAAATAAATATAACATCGATGCCCCTGATGAGTGGATGTAACCTGACCACAGCTGTATATAACAAAGTATAACACAGGAACAAATAATACACTTTGTATTAATTACAGTTTTATTTTTGAAGAAATGCTGTCCCTCACATATACATTCAGTCTAAATAAAAAAGATATGAAGCTTGCACAGTTTGAGACTACTCTGATCAAAATCATTTCCAGAACTGATTTCTCTAAATTGTCAATTGTTCCATTTGACAACGTTTCATAAACAACTAACACTTAAAAAAAAAAACACTTCTTGCATACAACAGAGTATTACGGCCACACAAGATCTTTAAATTTTCTTCTAAATTACTATAATAAAGTCATAATATTCCGACATTAAAGTCATATGAATATAAAGTCATAATATTCTAAAATTAAAGTCGTAATCCTATACCCTTTACATGAAAAAGCATGAAGTTATCACTGCATTAAAATGAGGAATGTTGAGCAACTTGTCAAGTTGTTCTTTATTATTGCTATAAATAAATAGTTAATCTTTTAGCACATTAACATCAAATTATCAGTAGCAGGACTTGGAAATTGTGCAAACGACTATAAACTGAAGCCGTACTGTAATTATTCATTGACAGATTTAGTCGTCACGTAGTTAATTTGGATGAAAACTTATTAATCTAACAGTGACCTAGGTCATCACAGACTACTTTATAAACATAGAGACATGGCTGTACACAGCAGGTGTGAGGAAAATAAGGAGGAAAAGAGGAAGGGGAAATGGACACGTCATGATTATGACTTTATTCTCGTAAAATTACAACTTTATTCTCGTAAGTTTACGACTTTATTCTCGTAAGTTTACGACTTTATTCTCGTAAGTTTACGACTTTATTCTCGTAAAATTACGACTTTATTCTCGTAATAATAATTTAAAAAAATCTTGTTTTGTGGCCCTAATACTCCATCATACAAATGCTGCTTTTTAACAATGTAGACAGGTAATAAATATCTATAAACAAATATAGGTTTACATGTACCCAAATGTTATATTTTTCTCTTTAATTTATTCAACAGTAGAAATAGAATTTATTACTCACAGCTTTCTGAGCTTTGAGGCGTGCCTTGTGCAGCTCTGTCCGCTCTCTGGCTTCATATTTTCTCAGCTCCTCTTCATAGTCCATATTCTCCAGATACTAAAAAAAAAAAAAAAACTATATTCACTTTTCAAAACAAAAATACTTCTTAATAAAATTGCAAAGACTTGAAATAGTCAAGTCTTTGCAATTTTATTAAAAAGGATCTTTGTTTTTCCATCATAATCTGACTAATTCTTGAGATAAATAAAAAAAAACAAGTATTACAGATTATTTCCAGAGTAGATATAATGAATTACGACAGCAGTTTGTTTATAACAGGGTGGCGCAGGTCAATTTAAAATAATCGTATCCTTGATTGTTCTTATAAACTTCGTGGTTTCTCTGCTTCACAGCAGCTGTCTATTAGAGCCACAGTCAGTGCTGGGATGTATTGGTTACACTTATGATCATTTTAAATGTAACCAAACTACATAACAAAACAAAGATTACTCAGTATCACACAGAATAGTAGTGTTGACACCTTCTTATGTTTCCTTTGCCTTGAACGATCAGACGTTTTGAGGTTCAGGTTGGAAGCCCCCGCTGCAGCAGCTTCTAGTCGTTCCTGGAAAGAGTGTCGAGGGTCTCGATGAGGAGAGGGGGACGAAGAGCCCGTCTGCCGGGTGGATTCAGGATGGAGAGTTTCTGAAACGCCGGGAGCACTTTCACACTTCCCGATGCCGTCGCTGCGGTGGGAATGCTCGTCCTCGTCTCTGATTTCACTGGAATCGCCGCTTTCACCCAGAACTCGCTTTAGCATCTGCAGAGACGACACAGCGCTATGCTCAGAGAGGATTTATAATGGAAAACACTGACTTTAAATGCTACGAGATATTTCTCTTCGGATTTTCTTCCAGTTAGAGGATGATTTTCCAGTCGTGTTCCTCTACAACCCTAAAATACAGAAGAACGAGTCCACAGTGAAGGTTTATGTGAGGGAGAAGTTTTTATATAAACAGGATGTGGCTGCTGCTTGTTGGGTTACCTCCTCATTTATAATCTGGGAGTAAGATTTAAGTAACCTGGCCTGATTCATTGCCTGACTAATGAGGAAACTCTGCTTAGGGTAATTGGTGTGAAGAAAATCTCACTGAAGCTTTGTTCATACAAAAGCCTACAGACGCAGGCTTTTACTCTAATCCTGTTTTATTTTGGGACAAAGCCTTTCACTGATTATTTCATTACGACCTTAAAAAAACATAAAACTCCTATAAACACTGTACTGATGACGTAAATATGAGCATCCACTCCGAATATGAGACCACACTGATGGTTATGATTTGTTTAATACCCACCTGGTCCAGTTCTTCCAGTCGATGGCTGAGGTTCTCGGAGATGTGATGCAGCTCTTCCTCTGCTTGCTTGTTCTTTTTCCTCCGGTAAGACAGAGGCTCTTCTGAGCTTCCTTGTGCTGTTTGACGACTGCTCGGACACCTTGGATCGAAAAAACAACACAGATCACTACATTTTGTTCAAATAAAACGTTAAATAAATAAATAAATAAATTCTCACCCCAGCTCTGTCCTTTTCGGGCGACTTATCCGCCTCTGATTAAAACGTTGCCTATAGCTCAGCTCTTCCTCCTCCTCCTCGTCGGTGTCTGGCGGGGAAGGGGTGGTGGTCGTCATCTCATCCTGCAGGGTGAGGAAGAGAACGTCCGGCTGGGTGCGGAATAAGACCCTCCTCGGACCTCCGTTAGTGGGCTGAGATTTGGTAAAACAATGGAGTGTTATTTGGACCTGTTTTTGTGGTTGAAACCAGCTGCGTGGTGGGGAGTAGGTTAAAACTGCTCCTACCTCTAACGTCTCCGACTCCTCCCTTGGCTCAGGTCCTCGCCGGCTGGATGCAGATTTCTCACTTTCAGCTGGAAAACAAACAACTATTGACACACAGAAACGAGTGGCATTGGACCTTTTCAGTCATATTCACATCGGTTACAGTAAACAGAACCATCTGATAGCTCCTCTGAAGAGCCACCGTTCAGTCCAACACTGAGTCAAACTGATACTTTTAGAAAGTTTATCTCATTAACCTAAACAGCCATTTAGCACTTCACCAACCTGATGTGCAGCATATTGACTCAACAGGTGAAGAACAGGACGCAGGAGATGATATTCCATTAGTGAGAGTCTCAGAAACCAGATTAGTGCTCTGTGAAAAGAAAGAGAAACTAATTCTTACTAAACATAAAAGAGATAGTTTAGTTCATCCACCCAGGAGATATAACCACCTCAGCTGACTTCTTTCGATGTGGAGGAGCACATTTTAAAAAGAAGTGGTGGTGGTGGTGGGGGGGTATGTATTTTCCAGACACAAAGTTCAGTTCTATACCACAATTAAGTTACTGTTACCTTTAGTTGTTATAAAAAAAAGCTGTATTTATCAAAAATAAATTTGATTTTGCATCATAGCCCGTCTCCGTCTCAAGAACCTCCTACTGTTTCTGACACTCCCACTTCAGCGCATTTTCAAACAATGCTTCAGGGGGAAGGGGTGCTCTGTGGGGCAGCGGCTCGGCTGCACACCAAGCTCCAGGGAGGAGCTTTGTACAAATAGGCGGTGCTTTGTACCAGCAAACGTGTAGACAGCTCCACATGGCCACAGGCGATTGAAGGATTTCTCAGTCAAAGCAACACTCTGGGAATGTTTTTTGACGAGAGACTGACAAAACATGATATAAAGCTCGAAAACGTTAAGTTTGCATAAATACCACCCAGTTCTGGACCTTCCTATTTCTCTGAACTCCTGCTCAGAGCTGACAGAGCCTTTTCCATCCCAGGTAAAAACTCTTGATTGTTTTACCACTGCATGTTAGGCAGGTTCACTCACTCCATTTATTTAAATAAAAATAAAATATTTATCTGTGTAGGGG